TAATAACTTTATCAAACAACAATTGCAAGGCATAATATCACGGAAAAATCCAGAAATATTTGGAAACATCGTAAATATTCATAAAAAAATATATTATGCAATGAAGATGTTTTTCATATGCCGGGAAGAAAAAAATATTCGATTGCACCTACACACCTTTTCTTTAGTACCATATATGTATCCTTCCAAGTTATTTTTCAACTCTGCCGTTCTCCTCCTCTCTGCATCCTTCTTGTCTAATTCTTCTAATTTACGCTTTGCTTCAGCAAGAGATTCTTTTGAAGGAGACATTGCAGGTCCGACTGTTTTCTCAACAATCTACAATATATAAAGGAGATATGAGAAAATACGAGCTTCTAATGAGCTGTTGAGAAGCATGAAAGAACTTGAAGAAAATTAACTAATATATACCTTCAGTGGAATCCTAAAGGTCCGCTTTTTCAACTTTTTTTCAATAACAACATCCGCTTCTACAGTAGAGTTGGAAGTGTTACTATTTCCACCATCATTAGTATTGCCATTGCTGTCTTCTGAAGAGTTCTGAGCACCAGTTTCAGTCGAAATGTTTGGTGCAACATTAGTTGAATTCTCCACACTCAGATTCTTCTTAGGAACTTCCACCCATTCTGACACTTCAATAACAGCGTCTGCACGATCCAACGACAAAACACCACTTCTACTCAAAGAGAAATGCAGACTTGCTTTAATGGGTGAAGACAAATTCCGTGATGCATACCTAAATAAGATGGAAAAGACAAATATAAAATGTTGTCAGTGTTCATCTCATGCTTTTGCATGGACATATAAGTAGAACTTCTTTAAAGCACTGCAGAAAAAATCGTACAGAAAGAATCTGGAAATGCCAATCCTTACTTCTCACTTGTCTCTGTCAAACTGGACACAGAGTACTGAGCAAATACAGGAGAGGTGGCACCAGGGGGTAAAAGATCTTCACTCTCGTACGCTAGCGACACTTCAAAATCTTTGCTCTGGATAAAGGACCTGAACATCTATTTTATAGCAAACCAAAAACATAGTGAGTGAACTTAGACAGGAAAAACTATAAAATAAAACCCTTTAGTAATATTTGGTATTTCTTTCCATGTTATTTACCTTGCTGGGGAGTTTCTTCATCCGTTGCACAAGTGTCTGCCTAGTACTATCTTCTTTCTGAAGATCGGGGCCATCTAACTCAAGCACAAACCCAAAGGTAGAACCATCAATCATCCCTAACTTACGGTTCAGCTTGATTCCATCACTTAAATTAGCAGCATATAATGCTGCACCTAGAACTATAGCTTCATCAGCATCCAGATGTCTATCCAACTCTTTCCTTCCAAGATATTCCTGAAGCTTAGCCTGTCATAAAAGAAATAGAGAATTCCTTCTCGTGATCACTCTTCATAACAACTCAGAGATGACAAGATTCAATAGCGCAACATTAATATCAAGGTGATGTAGGACATCACCACAGAGCAAAAGGGAGAGAGAGTATAAGTCAAACCTGCAGCTTTGGCACCCTGGTAGCTCCTCCTATCAGTTCCACTGCATATATCTCATCTACCTTTAAACCAGAATATTTGAGCACTTCTTTAAGAGGTATAAGTGACTTCTCCCACAGATCTTCGCAGAGCTCCTCAAACTTTTCACGAGTTATCGTACTCCTGAAAGGGAAGTAAATAGTGTTCAGTTTGTTCCCTTGGACAACTAACACAAATTGCCAGAGTACACAAGGTGAAAACACATGTATCTTTAGAAATTTAACATAGCTTATTTTCCACCAAATCTAGAAGGGTAAAACAAGCTTTTTATAAGAAAACCTACATCAACCAGCATAGCAGTGGAATAAATAGTAATTAATAATAGAACACCCAACAATGGAAACAGAGGCATCCCAAAGAAACCTATCTATATAAGTTGCACAACTACATATCGATAATGTTCAATATACTACGTTGGACAACTAATGACACAAATTCCAGCTCGCTGTGAAAAGTATTTAAATTGAGATGCTTAAAATAGCCTATTTTCCACTACTCTAGAAGGGAAATCATGAAACACATAAAAGTCTATATCAACCAGAAGTATGGCGACGGTAAAAATAATAATTAAAAACTTTCAACAGGGCATCCCAAAGGCGCCGCTGCATGAACAATAATTGACAGAGCCCCTGCCACATGAACTCTTTTCACCCTTCTGCTCATTGCTTCCACTAGTTAAATTGATAAAGGAAATTTTCAACAGGGATCAAAGAGTAATGCACTTTAAATTCCACCAACCTGAAGTCCCGATCATCATAAAGGGATTCAACAGATATTGGTGCCATTTTGTTTGCACTTAGAATTTCTTTTGTACGCTTGACCTGTTTCTTCAATTTAGCCATTGCTTTTGGGGACTTCCTCACATCAACACCATTCCCTACTTGTTTATTGAACTCATCTGCAAAATGCTCCACCAACCGTAATTCCATGTTCTGGCCCCCAAGTTGTGGGTCCCATCTGACATCCTTGACCTGTACATGAAAAATGAGAATAAACTTTAAGAGAACTGGCCAAAATAATTGCATATCATACGAGAATCAAAAGTAACCTATGCTTCCGTAAATAACAGATACATGGAGGGAGGAACTTCGCGTGGTGGATTATTTACACATGGTAGACGTGTTATTGTGAAACCAATATAACGTGTGTAAAATGTAAACTATGGAAGTGTTAACCATCGGTTCAAACTATTAAATGCTATAAGACAATTCGAATTGGAATGAAATTACCTGAAACTGGTTGACTGAAACGGTCTTACCAAACTCCTTGGTATTATATGCCGAGAAATAAACAAGTGCCGCATAGGTACTGCTGGTGCCCATATCATAGAAAATTATATGCCTTGACTCATTTGAGAAATCCTTATCAATCCCATACTGCAATGCTGCACCAGAATGCTCATTTATCAAAGCAAGAACATTAATCCCCGCCAACTGTGCCGCTCGGAGTAACCCCTTTCTCTCTGCTTGCCCAAAGTAAGGAGGAACTGAAATTACAGCATCCTTTACAGGCACTTTCGAATGAAACTCTGCCAAATTTGCAGCATAACCTAAGACCATTGCCGTTAGTTCCTCGACTGAATAAGTAGTCACTTTATCATCAATTTTGAAACTAACAGTTCCCGTAGTATCCTCTGTAACGTCGAATGGCAAGTACAATGAATCCAATAGGCTTTTACTGGAACTAAAGGGTTTTCCAATCAAGTCCCTTGTTTGAGAATAGACTTTTTCCGGGTACCGAGCAATCAATCCAGCTGCTTCCTCCCCAAGAAGACGATCACCGGAGTGAAATGCAACCAAGTTGGGGGATTTTCGTTTTGACATCTCATTGATAGCGACTGTGATCGGGCTCTGCCCGCGCTTTAGGTTTACTACCGCAACTTTCACCCATTCGGAGCCTAGATCTATACTCATAACCGCACATTGAGAAGGCGAAAACACAATGCAAAGGACCGATAAGAACAACCCTAGCTTGAATAAGATCGACGCCATCCTAGATTGGATTCGGTAAACCCTAGGACTTCAAAGCTTCGTCTGAACAAACACAATAATAAAAATTGATAAATAATTAGCATAAAAATTCAATTTTTCGGACCTGCGACTGAGAAAACAAATAAAAAACAGTTAAATTCATTTGAAAAGTTACAGTTTTTATGCTGTTTGGGCACGAAGAAAATGGAAAACGGGAGTATACTAAGCTCAATTGATTGCTCTGAGTACAGATTTCAATTCGATATTCGAAATCAAATTCGATGAAAAAAAATAATTAAATTAGCTTAAACCCTAATTTTTTCTACACTGCGTTTTCCATTTTCTCAGCAACCAAACAGAGGACTAAAAATTTGAATATTTCACGTCGATAGAAAATCGAAAAATAACTCGGATACAGAAAGGAGAAAAATGAATGCACGGAGATAATTGGATAGAGAGAGAGAGAGAGATACCAGTAATGTGCAGATCGCATTCTCCAGAAGACTGGCGGCACAATTTTCTGTTTGGTTGACGAGAAAACGTAGAAAGAAAGTGAAGGCGAGAACTTTCTCAGTGAATGCTGGAAGATGCAGGGAATTTAAACAGAAGAAATGCCTACGTGGAAAATTAGGAGAGTGAACTACCAGTTGGAAAGATCCACGTGGCGTAGTGTACACGTGGAGGACAGTGATACGCTCCGCGGTGTTGTGCCAACGGTTATCATAGGTGCTTCGTGCATCATTCGGTGTTGGCGCGCGATGCTGCATGACTTTCGATCAACCGTGGAAATAGATATTTATAAATTTAAGGCTTTTTGGTAAACATGTAACTCCTTATTTTAGTCATTAATAATGAAAATTCATAGAATTGATTCTTAAGTTTATCTGCCTAATTTATTTTGATTCTTCTGTGAAAAATATGTCAATATTAGGCGGAAGAGTTGGTTTGATAAAAATAATGTGAAAAAGGTGGTCACTGGACAATTTAACAAGGATATTGACATATTTTTCACGGAATAATCAAAATGACTTAAATAAACAAACTAAGACACCACTTTTATCAATTTTTATTATTAAGAACCAAAGTTAAGAGTTATGTAAATACCAAAGACCAATTTTGAATAAAAGCCTGAATTAAATTGGGTTGAAGATCTAGATGTTGCAACTGCTCAACTCCTCTTAGTACTGGTTTGGTACTGAAGTACTTTTATAAAAAATGGATATAAAAAAAAGCTGAGTTCAAAAAGATGTTTGGTAAACACTTAAAAACAGCTTATTTTCACAATTGAACTTAGTATTACTCTCTTAGTTTGTTGGCAATTAAATATCTTCTCCAACTTTAAGTGTCAAAGGACGAGGAGTGTGGAAAGTGATATTTAGAGTCGGTAGTTCACCTTCTGAATGCAATAAGGACCAATTGGTCTAGTGACATTTTTACGAGTTCAAATTGCACACACAGACCATGTTTTGTTGCCAACTGACGTGCGAGATGACTTAAACCGCATTTTACTTGTTGGAAAAATGATTTGATGACTTTATACAAGAATCCGCAGAAACATACGCACATAAAAGCTATGTGATCCTTTAGCATGTAACTTCTATTTACAGATATCTGAAGTCTAATTTCCGGCATACCGACGTTAACTCGAAAGAAAGATCTGAATTCTTGTTCGTTTACACCAAAAGTTACAACGCCCGTCGCCATAATATACTTGCTACTAATGTAACTTGTATACGGAGTATTTGAAACCGAAGACGGTTTGAAATAACTCTAGAATAACAGCCAATGCTTCTTTCGGGGAGTTCTAGTCGGAACATCTGTAGACAGAACCGTAAAAAGGAATCAAAGGATTGATTATATCTTGAATGGTACCGATACCAAGGTGTCTGGGAGAAAAAATTGCAAATGAGAAGTATAAGTAATGGTTTAGTTCATCACCTGCACTTGCATACAAGGAGTTATAATGCACTTCACTCCAAAAGCTCAGCCAAAGCTCTGAAACACCACAAAAGTTGAAACAAAAACAATCGCAACCTCGTTATATTTTTATTACGAAGTTTCAACCCACACGTAAGTATCAAGTTATGCGTTTAACTCCATCCAAAAGCCCAACTTGGCTGGTTTGGTTGATTTTCCACAGCATATCAGTACCACTTGGTTAATATGTACATTGTGCAGTTTCTTTCGACTTTCACGATTCAAATAAAGATAAAGTAAGCAAATGAGATTTACCTAGGGTAGGATTCCCATCTTTAGGAAGAATCTCGATGAAGCAAGTGTCTCGAAAAGAGGTGATTAAACAAATCTTGGCTCCGAACTACAGAAGAATCCGTAACTGTTAGAAACCAATCACTGTGAAACTTAGCATTATATAAAGCGGGAAAGAACAAAACTATTATGGAGTTACCAGAGAGCAAACAGAAGAATCAACGTATGAAAATAAACAATGATTTACAATTCTTTACTCCGATCTCACCAAAACTACATTTTAACAACTTCCTTTTATATTTTCGGTCTGACATTGTAATAATTTCAAGTCACAACCATATACAAAATATACCTCAACAAGATAAATGGTGAGGTGAAAAGAAAGTCAGCATTTTCACTAAGTGACCTTAAAAGCACCTGAATAAAGGGAGAAAAAGTAGAGACCAACTTACTCGATCTGCAGCTGCCTGTAGCGTAAGATGATCTCCCCACTCCCCGGTTCTAGTGCCATAGTGTTGTGTACAAAATCAAGTTAACTTTTAGTAACAGTTAGATATATACGTTGCAAAATGTCTCAAATTTTGCAGTAAATAATTAGTAGGCATGAAAGCAGAAATCTAACTTTTTCATCTTCCTCAGGTAGCGTCTGTATTTCATCGGGACATAAGCTTCATAGAGTTTTTTGTGATGCTTTAGCTGAAACATAAAACATAAAAAAAATAATACGAAACACTCAATATAAAGAAAATTCGAAAAGCAAGAAAAAATTCAAACATAAAAGGTTATCTTAGTGTTACTCCTAAGATGTTGCATCCATTCAGCGAGGTATTAAGATTTCATATCCACTGCCAGTAATAGATTAAAATATTATCTCAAGATACAATCTTCTTATCGATCAAAGCCTACGGTAACTAAACTAATATAATGAAATGAACGAACTGGAGGAATTTCATCAGCCGTACCTGCTTTATCACCTGTTTTCTTACATGCTTGTGGTATTCTGGATTCCGAAACAATTGATCTGCTATTGCTCGAAACTGCAGCATGTTAACCAAATATCTTAGAATTACTTGGAAACCCGTTCTCTCCTCCCCAAAGGAGAAGAAGAGGGATGCAAACAAATAAATGTAGGCTGATAAATCAATTGCGTTACGCCAACGTAACCCAAGAAAACAAAATAACAAAAACCTAATATGATAAAATATACGTTTGGTATGCCTTTGCATTTCAACGTATAAAGATAAATAGAATCTCAACAGATGCAAATACTTTGAAATCAATAAGGTGATAAATTAATTATTGTAGCCAAACCTGACAATTTCCATCGCCCTCGATCTGCAGTTCAGATAAATCATACGTTGCCAACCTGAATCAATCAAAAAGATATTATTACAATCAAGATGATTCTTCCTGCTACCAAATCATTCCTCTACAAACCCAAGTGCACAACAAAGCTGCTTGGTCATAGCTACATCTCTCATTAGTTCAGCGACATATAATACCGAAAGGAGAGTAGCAAAGGATACCAGGCTATTTGATATGAGCAGTTCACAATAAACCCACCCCCGCCTTCTCGGAAAAAAGAGAGAAGGATTTTTCTAAAGTTAGTTTTGTGAAAATAAAAGTTGTAAAGTTATGATCAAATTATACTGTCTAACCCATGGTGTACTATAAGCACTGAATAAAGGAAAGATCAGTAAAAGTAAAAAGTGCCAAGGTAGCGATAAAAAAATCAAGAAAAAATTATGTCGAGAGCTCATTGCTGAAATTACAACCTTGCCGACAGGCGCTCATGGTCTTGGGTCGCATCATTCACGTCAGGTATCTCCCCATTTACGCGGGGAGTGTGCTGCAAACACAATAAATCAGTGGGTACATATTTATATCCAGTTAAATACCAATAAGCTACCCAATTTTCAGTCAAATGGACAACAAGGTTATCTCATGCATGTATGCGCCGCTCAGACAGTAGGCAGAGAGTATATTATTTATCTTAAGATAACGGAGCAAGCAACCTATCTCATACAGTGGAGCAAGAATTAATTGAGTGATATAGACCTAACGACGTTTGAAAAATGCCTCCTCAATTCCAACAGACATAGCAAGCAATCATGTATGAGGCAGGAAAATGGTGCTCATATTAAACTAAACAAGAAAATTAGTGTGTCGAAAGTATCAAAAGCCCACATCTATTTTGCAATGATATTTCATATCCCATACTACATACACTAGTAACAGTCTAAAGGCATGTATAAGTAACACCTCGAAAAAAGAATTTGAAACTTCAAGATCAACCCAAGTATCATAAAGTGTGAAAGGGTGTGACTTAGTTAACATATCACCAATTTCTGCTTGCGTTGCCAAAAGCATACATTAGCTATTTCCCATTCATAACAACCAACAGAGAAAAATCAGTCATGGGCTTAATTTTCCCTTAATTTTTTGATAAAATCAATACAACAAATGGATACATATGTTCATATCTTCACCTATATAGTATATATACATATGTGCATATATACAAGATTCATGGCACACCTCTAATCCGGGAATTAGAAACATTGTAGACATAATGACTAGCAAGGAACATACCGGAATCGAATCTAAGTGGGACAGTCTCTTCCCAAGCCTGCGATCAACTTTGACCTTTTCCTCTTCTGCCAACATGGTTGCAATGGTTTGATCATCCTCTGTATCATGGTTGCTGCTATCTAAACTCGAGCTTGAACTCGCACTCGCATTGCTGTAGCTTCCACTCATACCGCCTGAACTAGACAGATCACAAACACACCCCTGCAAAACATGTCGAGTGTAATAACTCGTCAAAGTAATCCAAAACAGTAACCGTCATAACGGTAGCTACGAGCTAGAACCCCTAAAAATTTGAGAATAATGTATGGATTAATGACATATCAATTTCCCCCTTCACTTATCATCTGTTTGGTTGCTGAGAAAATTTGGAAAATAAAACGAAACGAAAATTTTCTATCTTGAGTTTCGATTATCATCAAATTCTTGGAAGTGCAAGGCTTCACTTGAATTGAATGGAAAACACAGTGATTGATCTTGACATAATCTGATTTTCTATTTCATTTCACTTTCGCACCAGCCAAACAGCAGATAAAGTGTGAAAGGAAAGCAATCCAATAGCAGCAGCAATAAAATTAAATTTTAAAAAATAACTAAAAGTAATTGAAAAGCATAAATTATTATATAAACAAACCGAACGAATAAGAACCTGCAGCTAAATTCAGTTCCTGAGAAAAAAAAAAAAAATCTGCAGAGAAAGTCTTTGTACCTCTCAAGCTGAGCTTTAATTAAATCAAATGAACTTATTGAGCTGAATATAGCAGTCCACAGAAGCAAATCCACAAACAGGGAAGATCCCAAATCCAAGTTTTCTCTTTGTCTTATTTTCTCAGCAACCAAACAAGGAATTGGATGAACTACAAGATATGCAACTGAAAATAATAAGATAATACAAATACAAATATAAATAAAACTGTAAATATATTCTACCTTGGTAGCTGAACTGTATAATAAATATCTGGGAAAAAAAAAAGAAAAAGAAATTTGACTTGGTAGCCAAAAGAAGGGTCAGAGAAAAAAAATAAAAAAATAAAAGCCGGGAAGGAAAGGGTTGGAAGTTGGAATTGAATGGGTAGGCGCTGCGGAGCCTTTTGACAAAACGCCATCCTCTATTTCCGACAAGAAAACACTACAAAAATTAAACAAGTTCAACGCCAAAACTTCTATAAACCGTGTGGATCATGAGTCAACACTCGGGATATCAAATTGATTTTTTTTTTTTTTTTGAGATTTTAATGTATGTTTTTAATTGGCTATTTTTTCGTACTACGATGCTAGCTACATTTTCTTTTTATCCTTTTGTTTTTTTTTTCTTATCATGCAACTAAATCTTTGCTACACCAATTTTTCGTTAGGTGATTTTTTGAAAAGTGATTCAAAATGTAAATGGTTTCGATGGTCAAATTACATTGATAGAAATTAATACGGATAAAATAAGAATACCACTCCCCACTCGAGTGGAGAATATCATTAGGAGTGAATTCGAATTCTGATGCAAAGTGGGCGCACATCTGCTATAGCCAATGTAGTTATGTTCACATTTACATTCGTCTATGTATTAAAATAACTTTCTTTGTCAACTAAAGAGGAGAATTTTTGCATCCACACCCTTATTTCTCTTTCTACAAGTGACTCCCTCGCACCAAATGCATGTATCATTACGCCTAGCTAGTATCTTTTTATGAATTAATCTCTACTAAATAAATTACCTTAGTGTTCTTACTTATTTGCATGCCAATCTATGTGTCATTTTATGTGATTTGTCACACGTGAAACTACAAAAAGGGACAAAAAAATGGGAACCTTCTTGTATTGCTTGTGAATGTCTCTCATTTACTTTGGTGTTTTGCTTTGTTTACTTTGGTTGTTGATTATGATAAAATAGTTCTCATCAAGTTGATTAAGAACGTCCAAGGAGTCCACTAATTACAACTTATAACCTAATTATTGTAGACGAGGGGTAGCTACTTTGCCAGAGTAGATAGTGTTCCTCTATGCACTCAAGTTCAAATCTTCCTCCCAACAATATAACTTATTTAAAGTACGATACCACCTATATATAAAAAAAAATTAACAATGAAAATTTTAATTGTAAATAATACCAATTTTTATCATTGTTAGGATGGAATTCCACTAGTGTTGAACATCTCTCTACAAATAACAAATACAAAAAGAAAATCTCTCAACAAAATTACATAAGAACTAAATAGAATAATTAATCTAGAAAACATAGTCATAAACACCATTATTAGAATACCCAAGTCTAAACATCTTATTCTGATCAGTGAAGGCAGTGAGATTTGACACAGCTCTCAAATTAGCCTCATCTCCCATAGTCCTTTCATTTAGCTTCCTCATCCTTTTGCTCATCTCATCCTCCTCCATCATCCTTCTCAATCCTTCCTCAACATCCCTCTGTCCAAACCCACTTAATCTCACCCCAATCCTCCACACTTTCACAATGTATGCACAATTTACAAACTGGTCCCCAGCCACTGGATAGCACAGGAGAGGCTTCTGGCACTGAATGGCCTCCATTGTTGAATTCCACCCACAGTGTGTGAGATAGCATCCCACTGCCTTGTGTTGCAAGACATCCATTTGTGGGGCCCAGGACACAACTTTGCCTTGTTTTGCCACTCTTTCCAAGTACCCAATTGGTAACCCTCCAAGCCATGAAGATCCAAGCACCCAGAGGAATGGCTTTCCCAAGGCTTCTAGTGCCAATGCCAAGCTTCTAACCTTAGCCTCTCCAATTGGACTAACCCAACTTCCGAAAGAGATGTAAACAACTGTGTTAGGGTTTTGCTTGTCTAGCCAGTTTAAGCAGCTCGTGTCTTCTTCCCAAAAGCTAGGGTTCTTGGTGGTTGTGTGCTTGCTCAAAGGACCAATTGGGAAAACAAGAGGTTGTTGGGTTGTGGTGCTCTTGAACAATTGATCACCGAGTTGTTGATGTTGTTCATCGCTGATGGTGTATTCATTTGGGAAAGAATGTACAAGTATCCATTGAAGCGTTTTCGATCGTTCTAGGGTTCTAGTCCAAAATCTGAATCTTGCTTTTCTTGCAGCTGGAGTGCCAATCAACCAGGGCAGCTCTTCAGTAGATAGCACAGGTTGATTAGGTAAGCATATACCACTTAGTTGTTTTGGAAATCCTGCCAAGATTATATTATATTATATACACGTTAGTAGTCCATAGATTAGGTCCACTCGATTATCCACATCAATTTATTTTATTATTTGTAATAAATATCTCTTTATTTATAGGATTGTTTATTACTTAATTTTAAGATTAAATATAAGAATAAAATATTGTTTATCCTTATTACTGCTCCTAATTTGTATCATCACAATTTTTTCCTTCTACCTCATCAGGTTAGGTTAACTATGTTAACTAATATTTGTTTTAGGTACAATATATATCATCATGTATATGAATTTATATATGTATGGATGATGAAAAAATTTTAAACTATTTTAATGGATGATAGGTAGGTTAAGTTTTATTTATTTTCGTATATATCTCTATCATAGATGAAATGTACTTTATCAACCTACGATATAGTTATATATATACATATATAATGATATATAAATTTTTTTTTAACTATTTTTCATTGAAAGTGATTAGATTTTTATATATAAATATTTGAGTAAAGATGCATAAATAAATAAATAAAAACTTTAACTAAAATTGAACAATAGGACAATTAGACTAAATCCAATAACAGCTTAGATTTTTACAAAAATGTCATGTTCAACTAATTGATACACGTTGGATGGTTACGAAGTTCATACGCTTTTAATATATTCAAGCTTAATATTAATTTACAGCTACAACATTTTGTGAAGATTTATATGGATTGAACCCTAACAACAATAATACTCAACCGTACTTTGTCCGACTTGCTTATTTAATTTTTTTTCCTGAAAAAGAGATCTGGTGGCTTTGCCACGGCAGTTTACTTTTCTAGGGGCCGGAAAGACTCAAAAAGACATTTCAGCCTCCCTCTAGCCACCATCGTACAATTCACTAGTGCCAGGAATCGAACCCAGAGCGTGTGGAATACGGTCCTAAAATTCATCCACCCAGTGGTGGTTTTCAACTTGCTTACTTCAATATATCTACATGGATGTTTGTGGAGAATGAATCCCATATTGATGAGGGGAGGGACTTTGCAAAAACTTATAAGAGATTGGGCTACTTTCTGTATTGCCAATTGATTTTACGGTGAAACCTCACATTTCTTCATGGTATCAAAATAAGGTTGTCCCACGTGTGAAGCCCAACGGCCACACGCGCTCCACGTCACTCCGTTTGTGTTGTCCGCGTATTAGGTTTGAAAATTCACCACACGTGAGGGGGTGTGTTGATAATGAATCCCACACTGATGAGAGAATGGACCTTGCAATAGCTTATAAGAGGTTGAGTTACTCCTCATATTGCCAATTGACTTTACAGTGAAATTTCAGTTTTCTTCCGTGTTTAACTGAAAAAACACGTACCCCATGTTGTTCCTAATTAGAATAATGCCTACATGTACTATAAAATTATCGATCGTAATAGAGATTAAGATGTGATCCACTTGCCTGCTTCACATAAGTCACACTATGAAATGTCTTAGTCATAAATACCATCATACAATTTTATTAATAAATAAATAATGCATGTGCATGCATGTGATTTAATATTCTAGTGAATAGGTATTAGGTTTCAAACTTCGCCTCCCCCTAAGTTATTGTAAGAGTTTCGGACTCTCCTCTTTCATTAATAATAATAAATGTTTAAAAAAAATTATGCATATGCATCAGAAATAGTCGACTTTTGACAGACAGATGAAAATCTGACATATATATACATATATATTGATAATTTTATACATGTGTTATGTTACGATTAATTTGTAAATAAAAATAAATGCACACTATGTAAGGAGTCAAACAATATTGTTTAGTTATCACATCCCTTACAACACCTAGAACACATTAATTCCAAATAATCTTTTAGATAATGACCAAGTTGGTACAAACAACAATAAAGTTTTATAGATATGAAATGAGAACTTAGAAGATACTACTGAACAAAGGAGTTTTTCATAATATAAGTATATTGTCATCGTGACATTCTGTGCTATATCTTAATTTTGTTCACATATCAATGTATCATTGACACGAAATATTATGACGGTGGTGTAGTTATGTTATGTAAGTTGCTATGCCATTAAAAAAACCAAAAGAGGGAGACTAAAAAAGGCAAATGAAGACGTAGATGATGATCTCATGCATATACTAGAAAATATTATCAACAACTAACCTGTATCAGCAGAAATGAGACCTGTCCTTAGCATGTCTGGAATTGCAGTGATCAAGCGATATGTGGCATGCATAGCAGGCCAAAACCCAGCACAGGCTACCCCGCATCTATTGGCTACATCTATAGCCCATGATGCCAACAAATCAACAACTACGCATACAACTTCATCACCATCCTTATCATCAAGCTGATGAATAAGTCTCTCTAGAGGGTTTGCCATGTTGTTCTCCATGGCCTTCTCAATGGCAAAGAAGTCCCTCGGGGTGTCCTTGTCCAATCCATCTGGGATTGGCATGCACAAAATCTTGTCTTTCGGTTCGACTTTCCGGACTATCTGGTGGTGAATATAGTCCGGAGTGACCATCACTGGCTTGAAGCCTTGGCTGAGGAAGGCTGAGGCTAATTTAAACATGGGAGTGACATGTCCTTGTGCTGGATATGGAACCAGGATGATGATGGGGTTGGAGTTGGACATCTTTATGCACTTCATGTTTCCCATCTCTCTCTATCTCTTATTCTTTTAGCATGTATGGCGTGTATTTTGATAGTGATTGATTTCTGGAGTCTGAAACAAGCCTACGTTTATAGAGAGTGAGGGGTGAGTCAACTATGCATGTGCAACATGATGTGTACTGTTATAAACTATAAGCCTCTACTTAATTGTGGAGCAAAAAATAATCTCAAAATTTTTGGAGAAAACACGCGGACTTTTTTTTCGAAGAAAATAAAATTGTCCTCATTAAATGGGCAGGGTTCACAATAATTCCCACGCACAGTTCAAGGCTTGAGCAGCTAACTACAATTTGTGGCATGAAAAATTCAAGGCATTAAAGATATAATTAATCACCAAATACTATCTCTTATACATTTCTGATTGAAGATCAACTCAAACAAGTAAGAAATTCTCATCACAATTAATCAAGGATACTTACCATATCAACCCAATATATTATTTCCTAATTAATATATTCGGGATTATTTTTTCCTCATCCATCTTACGGACGACGCACCTTGGTCAATTGGAAGTTGCCATGTGTAGTGCAGAATCCTACCATGGTTGGTCACCTCCCTATAAATACTCCATTTACACCATTTTCTGATGAGCTTTTGCTATACATACAAGCGCGCTAAATACTCACTCTTTTCAGAGAAACTGACTTAGGCATCGGAGATCCCTTGGCCAACCCCCTAACCAACCTCGTGGGCACGCATGTGGTTTTAGCCTTGATCAAAGGTGCTTATTGTTTTGTAGGTACAAATTGTCAATACCGAAGATGGCGGATCTTTGCTACCACGTTCATTTTCACTCCTTTGGCAACAAAGTTAATTTCAAAATATACTTAATTATAGCAGTTCCCTCAAAACTGTCATGTTAGTGAGAAAAACTCAAAAATCAAATTATTTATATGCAGTAGAAACTAAAATATAATCTATGATCACATATCAACTCGAAATTTCAAAACCTCGGTTGCATGGTGAACGCTGTCCTAATTATTTGAGCAACAAAGCCTTCCCGCGCGCAATGAGTTCATTTAATCGATACAAGCTGCTCTGAATTTTTGTGTGTAAACTTTATATATATAAAAAAAATTGCAGATTCAAGCGTAACTAATTGGCCAGAGCAATGTGCTCTCTTAGTTACACTGAAAGTCAAACCTCTCTCAAAACAATTTATATTAAATTAAAAAATATTGCTCAAATAAAAGTACAATTTTCATTGTAATAATCCAACTTGTGGTATATTTTTCTAATATAAGCGCGGCCTTTATGCTATGTACATACACCCCCAATTAAAATTAAAGTATCTAATTATAATAAATTAAACAGTAGGAGACAAATCCAGTATTCTGCATGAGTCACAACCACTTGCAATGTTAATTAGTACTAATCACTTCCAAAACAAAAATTAAGTGGAACAAATTGGCTATATACGCAGAATGTACTTTTTCTTTTCCAGTTGGCTATACCTCTATACATCCCAGGTTTATACGATGTGGGAAAAAACTCACGCCAAATTAGGCCAACTCTTTTCATCTTTTCGTTAAGTGGATGCGAACTCCTCTAAAAGCATGCATCTCATTGCCCGGTGGAACTCAAGTTAGGCTTAGGGGCACCGATAACTATAATTGATTGAGGCATGCATGGGCTGTGTTTTTTCTACACGTGATGAATTTTGATCCACGTTTAAATGCCATACACATCCTTTTCAACTACGTCATCGATCAATAATCGAAGTGGCTTTGATGTTTATGTCTACTTTTTACATTTCATTTCATTTAGATGATATTATAAAGTTGGATTGTTTGTTTTAGAATATTACAGTATGTTAAACTTTTGGTAAAATGGAAAAGAAGAAAACAATTGCTTTCCAATAATTTCTTGCATATAATTATTTCAAACACATTCGATCTTATGTTTTGAGATTTTTGTGGCAAATTTAGCCTAAATAATAATGCGAAAGGCGAGAAAAAATAAAAATTATTAGAAATTTATATATTCCATTGACTAAAATAAAGAAGAAGAAAAAAAAGAAAAAACCATAATTTGTCAAAACGACTACATAACGAAAGAACACATCTTATCGAGACTTAATTCATGTTGAATTACAAGATAGGAAATGAATCATAATCGTTATTCTACTACAAAATTATAAGATATAAAACATCAAAAGTACCTTAAATAAAAATAAAGAAGTTGCTAATGCCTTATTAACTATTCCAACAGTCATCAAACTTGCATCATTTCTTTCATAATTCTCCGCTCAGATGGAGAATCTTGTGTCCACTTCCTTGTACTACAAAAAGTGTAGGTTGCTGCAGAACCACTTTTGCCGACTTTGGATGGTGGAAAGAGAAGTGTAAAACGCATGAGAAACTCAAGCAAAACGCCAATTCCTAGTGCACCATGCAATTGAAAGAAACCAATGAAGTTGAAGTTGAAGTTTGAAGGCTCACGAGCTTTCACCCGCCAAAAAAATTAAGCATGATAAGAATTGTAAATTCAAACGTCTTGCATATGATTCTCACAATCACAATTGGACCGGTTTAATTAATACATGTAGTTTTCCTTTGTGACAACGGAAGGCTCAAATTCTGGATCTCTAGCCTATTCCGACCTATCAGCATCAACACAATGCTTATGGTTTAAAAATAGGGTGGTGCTATTTTTACACTTATTTTTACCTCTCATATGCGCTTTCAATTTTAGATCATCAGATTGAATGAATTGAAAAAAATCAATAGACAAAAATTAATAAGGATGCCTGGAGGTAAAAATGGGTGAAAAACACTAGTCTGAAAATATTCGTAGCGTAAATCTTATATGAAGTAAGGGAATGATGTATCATAGATCTTTTTCTTGTTTTTGGGAAAATGGAAATTTGAAAGCAAAAATTTAATATATACTAAAGGATAATCCTCAGTTTACAACTCTCAAGTTTTGTGGTTTTCAACATTTGGTACATGAAGTTTTTTTCGTCATAGAGTTATACCTAAAGTGTTAATTTTGGGACTGTCTCATACATCCGTTAGTTTGGCTGTTAAGTCTCCCGTTAAGTGATGACATGGCACCCACGTGGGCAATAACTGGGCGCCACATGTCAATAAAGGTCCCACGTGAATATTAAAAATAAATAAAATAATTAAACATCAAAAATAATTTAAAATTTTGAAAAAAAATGGGCGTCTTCTGATGCAAATAATATAGCACACAAATTAAACCCTCTTTTTGACAATTGTAGCAAAGTATGTAAGTAGGGATCGTTCTAAACCGGGGATTAGGAGGGCTTGCTAAAACCTCTAAACTGACTCAAAAACAAAAAGAAACAAAGTTAAAAATGTAAACAAAAGATTTTAAAACAAGAAAGTAAAAGGGGGATTTGAGTTTGGTGAAGTTGAAAGTAAAAACGAATAAACTAAAAACTTAAATAGATTTTAAACAAATTTGGGTTGAATGGATAATGGAAGGCTAGCTAAGGGGTTCTTCTCCACACATGTCTTGCTTGCCTACAAAATGATTTCCAATTGCTCTTCGATAAGTTATGAATACTCAACGCCCCAAATTAACCGTGAATTGCATTAATTAACTCTCAGTTTTTCAACAAGTTATTAGATTGGATGATTGCATACGACAACCCAAAACATTCCCTACAAGTTCCCTACATGAATTGCATAATAGAGATACAAGCAAGAATCATTAAGTTCTATGAAAAACATAAGCATTGACGAGTCACTCGTTACTATGATTTGCATGAAACTTATGCCAAGAATTTACTTAACGTGATTGTGACTAGCAACCTTCACTACTTGTGAATATAAGTTCATAACGATTAGGTGAAACTCCCTTATATTCTAGCATCAAATTCATGCATGAAAATTAAGCGTGCACTCTCAACCAACATACACAAATTAGTTTTTATACGAACGGATAAGTAAATTGAATTCACAATTCAAGAAACGCAATTGGAAGTAATCAAATCATATAGCAAGCATAAACATGGTTTTGAATCCCCCCCTAGCCAAGGGGGGTTTAGTTCCTCATTATTACAAAACAAAGATAAACAAATTTAACCATTGAAAAACAAAGGGAAGAAAGCACCTAAACGTTCCAACGATCCATGTTGGATAGCAAGCGCGTCCAAGGACTTTTCTCCTTCTCCTTGCCGCCACAACAAGGTTGGAATGATGTTGAAGGGTTGGTTATTTGGAGGAATGGATGGGAAGGGGTTTAGATATGTAGGAGAGGCAAGGAAAGGCTTGGAGAATGGTTAATTTCTGGATGATTTCAATGAGGTTGCTGCCATGGTATTTATAGGAAGAGGATGGACATGTTTAATGCAAAAATCTGGTGGAATGAAGTAGGTAAGGCATGGCAAGGTGGAGAATTGTTGGTGAGGGTAGGTTTTGAGTCATCCACTCACATGTCATGGTGAGTTAAGCATTGCATCATCCACTCAAATGTCATGGTGAGTTAAGCATTACATCATCCACTCAAATGTCATAGTGAGATAGGCATTGCATCATCACTAAAAAAATCTGGTGGAAGTAAAACAAAGGGAAGGCCACGGCATTGATGAATTTTATGGGGTATGCATGGTTTTGAGTGAAGTTTTGGCCAATCCTTCTAGAAATTTATCCCTTCTTACAACTTGTATTTGTTTCACCAGATTTTTAGCATGTTCCTAGCCTCTTTTGTCTTCAAATTCGTCCATCCATCTTGCTCATATCATATGTAATCCATTACAAGCTCAAAACTGCTCCAAAATGCACCAAAATGCACTTTCTTGCTACCTTAGCCCTTTGGACCTACAAACACACGAAAATGGCTTAAAGTACTAAAATAACTAAGAACTAATAACGTAAATGCAAGAAAACTAGTTAACTAAGTCGCATAAATATGCGTCTATCATCTTCTTCCTCGACACCCCCACCCGACCCTTCCTCCCTCCTCTACACCCACCCAACCTCTGCACATCCATCTTTCCCCCTCCCTCTTCGACTCCACCCACTCAACCCGCATCCTCTTCCCCCA